CAGTTCTATACTGAGGTCTCTACTCCCCTCCTGCAGTTGTCCTAAATAAAATTTGTTCTAGGGCTAGGGGTATAGCTTAGTGGTAGAACACTTGCCTAACATGTGCAACACATTGGTCTGATCCCTAGCATTGAAAAAAAAAAATCTTTACTGCTTTGTAAGGGTGAAGCAGACCAGTTACCCCCATCCAAAAGACCGTTGGCATAATTAAGCTTCTTTTCTTATCAGAAAAATTTTACAAAGGATGTCAGTAGGATATCAGCAAAAATTTCTGTGGTTTGTAGCTTCCTCTTTCTTATAAATGCCAGGTTTGCAGACAAGATTTGTGAAACCTCTGTCTAGCCTAAAAATGTGGGATAAACAGTAACTGTTATGTACCCACCCAGTGACATGTAACCACCCCACTGAGTATAAATCTAAAAGAATTTTCAGATTCAGGCTCCAAAGCTTTTTAGGCATTAGCCTCCTCTGGACTGCTGCAGCTAAAATAAACCTGATTTCTGGTGTCCAGCCACATCTGTCCTATATCAAGGGGACAGACAGATTTAGATGTAAGGTATGAGGGGACAAATAGATGAAGATGGTGGGAACACAAGGTTAAGAGAATAATTCTATAAAATGACTTCACTGTACTGATTCTGCACATGCTTTCTTTGCTAAAAAGCAATCTGCCTTCAGCCCTACCTGGCCTTGGGGGACAGGAAATTCACATTCCTTGCTTCTTTTGGCTATACCTTTTGTTTCTTAATCTATTCTTTAGGTTTGGACAGGAGAGTCTGTTTCTTACAGACATGACATCATAAATCAAGTTGGAGTAAACTATTATGAACTTAATAGTTTCATATACATTGTATAATATTTATCAAAACTACTGATAAAATGTCTTCACAAAGCAGATTCAAAACAGGACTTGATAAAAGCTACAAACTACAGCTAACATGGGAAACTTGGTGATTATTATTAACCAAGAAATGAATACCCTATTTCTTATCTGACTTATAGTTAGGAGGCCCTGCACAAACAAGAAGAAAAATAAATGACTTATGAATATTATAATAACAAAAATGCACAGGACATATTATTTATATTTAAGTCCAAAATAACGAACTTACAGATATTAAAGTTCAGGAAGGTTTCCAGATAGAAGGACCTAATTAAATACTTTTCAATAGCTTTCCTGTTGCAGAGGAATAGTCAATAAAACAATGAAGGGAAAAGTAAACCTAAAGGACTGAATCAATGGAAAAGAGTTTATCGCACAGGTTGGTAGATTCAGAGTATGATGGCCTGTGGACACGGCTCTAGCAAGGGTATTAATGCATTTGATGAGCATCCTACTCCTGGGCTTCAGGGAACCTGTGTGACAGGCTCTAACCTTAGCCCCGCCTCTAGGAATTTCCAGGGGTCTCCCTTGGCAACCAGATCCCATCTTAGACCCAACCTCTGGAATATTAAAAGTCACGCCCCTTGATCTGGTCTCACCTGAGTCCACTAGGCCGGCCCAGCCTGGTCCCTCCCCAGCCTCGTCCACGGTTCTGGTTCTCTTTTTACCTACAAACCCAGGGAAAATTAGCACGTTCAGTGCGCTGATGGACTGAGCGGGCGCTCCGCGCCACGCCCAGCTCCCGAAGCCCCGCCCCTGACGCAGAGCGTTTCTCAGAATGAGGAGGGGGGTAGCGGGCGGTAGAAGAGCGCGTCTGCGCATGCGCGAGGTAGCTCATTGTGTGCCTGTGGCCGCCATGACACTTTATGCTGCAGTCCGCATCTGAGATATATTCTTGCCTCAGTCCGCATCCTATCAGTCGGGGCCCGCGCCATCCAGGTATTGGCCGAGGGAGGCGGAAGGCTGGCTTCCTCTCCTCCGCCGCCGCATTTTATCAGTCCCGCCCCGCGCCATCCAGGTATGGGCCGCGGGAGGCGGAAGGCTGGCTTCCTGTCCTCCGCCGCTGCATCATATCAGTCCCACCCGGCGCCATCCATGTATGGGTCGCGGGAGGCGGAAGGCTGGCTTCCGCTCGTCCGCCGTCCCCGGGGCCCCCTTCAGGCGCTCGGCCCAGAGCCCCATCGGCTTCGCCGGCCCCGCGCTCGTCCCGGTGACCGCATCGGGGACTCCGCGCTGCGCCAGCTGCGGGCGCGTCTCCTGCAGGCCCCAACTGGAGAGCCCCGCGGCCTGTCCCTGCGGAGAGCAGAGGCCTCGCCTGTGTCGGGGTCCCGGGTCCGGAGCCTCGTGCGGGTCTGCTGGTCTGCACACACCCGGCGTGGGGTGAGCACAGCCCCGCTGCCCCTGGGCCTCGCGCACTGTCTAGCGCGGGTCTGAGAGTTTCCCCGGGGCCTGGGGCATTTTTGACACTTTGCATTCAGATACACAAGAGGGAGCTGATTTTAAAATACTGTTAACCCGCCTCCTGGGCAAGTGCATTTCATCCTTAATAAAGTGATACATTTTAGCCTGGCGCGGTGGTGTACGCCTGTAATCCCAGCTACTTGGGTCTGAGGTAGAACTTGATCCCAAGTTCAAGGGCAGCCTGAGCAATTTAGGCAGGCCCTATCTCTACACAAAAAATTAGAAGGACTGGGGGTGTACTTCAGTGGTAGAGTGCCCCTGGCTTCAATCCCTAGTACTGCAAAATGCAGGGAGAAAAAAAAAAAAAAAAAAAACCTCGGTCATTTGTTTTTAGATTCTTCAAATTTTGCACAGAAAATGTGCCGGTTTGAATTTTTTTTTTCTCCTAAATCTTTGTGTTTTCCTTTTTTTTTTTTTTTTGTTTCTAATTACTGTACTTGCCAGGACTCCCAGCTGAATGGAGATTAGCATATAATTTTCATTCTTGCCTTGTTCCTGATTTCAGAGAAAAATAATCAGTATTTCACTGTTAAATAGAATGTTTGCATTTTGTAACCTATAAAATCTTTTCCTTTCTAATGGCCTAAATTATTATTAGCAATGTACACTGAAATAGATTAGTCATTTCTTTGTGTCTAAGGGAATATGTCAAATAACCTTTCTATGAATACTGTGAATTTCATTAATCAGTGATTCAATTTTTGTTTATTTTATTCTTGTGGTGCTGGGATTGAATCCAAGGACTCAGCGCTAGTAAGGCACCGTACCACTGAGTCCCAGTGATTCAGTTTTATTCTTTTTTTCTTTTTTATTTTTTTAGTGATTCAGTTTTTAAGCATCCGTCATTCCTAGGATGAAATGAACTTAAATTATGATTTATACTTATTGTTCATTTCTCAACTGTTACCAATACTTTTGTATTATTTGTACTTTGTATGTGATCTGGCATATTTTTTAGATGTACGCTTCTGGTGTTGGAAGTAGGAAATTACATTCCCTCTGTACACTGGAATTATGAATTTCCTACTAATTTTGTGAAACTTTCTGTAAAACAATTTGCAACTTCTGTTTCCTTGTGCATGTTTTAAATATGATTCTTTTAATGACTGGATACAATGAAATTTTCTTCTTCCTCCTCCTCCTCCTCCTCTTCTACCACTACTATCACCATCCACCACCACCACCACCTCCACCACCTCTACTACTACTTCATTTTCCTCTTTCTCATCTCTTCTAGATTCTACCTCTTATAGTTCCTGTTACCTCCCAGTAGTCCATTCAGACTCTTAATCTATAAAATGGATTAATCCACCAATGAAATCAGACCCCTTATAATCCAATCGCTTCCCCCAAGCCCAAACTCTGAACACTACAGCACTGGAGACCAAGCCTTCAACACACGAGGCTTTGAAAGACATCCCAGATTCAAACCATAACAAATAGCTTGATTCTGTTTCTCAGAAATTAGGTTTTTTGGAGCCCATTGGGTGGGGTTGGGATGACAGCAGTGTTCAGGGCTTTGTAGTAATGCCTATTATGCTGTAAAATGGTAAACAAGTAAAAATGTTGGTCAAGGAGCCCCAAGAAGCCTAGTGTTTAAATAAATTAGTGGTTTCTTAGATATGAGTCAGGGAATATATATTCTTAGGGTTGAAGGCACCACTTGATACATTTTATGCTTTTTGTTTTGGGGAAATGGACAGCCAGATATTCTTAAAATGTGAGTTAATTTACTAATGAAATGTTACTATTAGCCTCTTTTGTATCATTGACAAGGATAAGAGTGTTGTTTTGTATCTCTAGGGGAGAAAGGATTGTTCCAGTTTCACACAAGTTCAGTTTGTATTTACTTGGGAGTCATGGTATGTGTTTTGAGTTGTCACTGGTAATTGATGTGCTACAATATCCAGGCTCATGAGTGTGGGAATTCTCTGGAGGGTTGGATTCCCATGTCAGCTTCTGTCTTACCTATAACTTCTCAGTGTCTTACTTTTCTTTATGAAGGTGACATGGAGGAAGAAAGAATAAGTGTTGGGTTACAGAAAAGTATGATGCAGGTAAGTAAAAGGTCTAATGCTCTAAAAGAATATTTCTATTTCATTTGATATCCTGCTGCTATTTTAGAGCACAGGTTAGCAATCTGCTTCTTCTTTTTTTTTTTTTTTTGATCACATGGTAAGTATTAGGTTTTTAAGGTCATAGAATTTCTATTACAAGGAAATTGTCATTTTTATACAAAAATATTCATAGAGGAACATAAAAAAATGTTTTATTGTATTGCAATAAAACTTTACTTACTTAAGTAGGTGATAGGCTAGAGTAAGTGCATGTGCCATAGTTTGGTGAGCCCAGGCCACAATACGATAAAACAGAGCCAGCTGTGGGCCTGACTTGAAAGATGTGCAGGCTCTTGGGCCTCTCAGGATTGTGAGGGGGGAAAAAAGGAAAAGTTCCCATTCACTCTCTGTGTTTTCATTCATTAAAACCTCATCAAGATTTAAACCTGAGTTTGATGTTGTGCTCAATGCCTTAATAGGAATAAAGTAGCAGGTGAAGTTATTCTTGAATAAGGAAGAATTTCTGAATAAGGAATAATATGATATTGTCCAATATGTGGTCTTGGTCTCATATCCTGGCATAGAGTTCCTAGAAGCCTTCAGATGTCTGGAATGATAAGAGTAGCTTTGTATGATGACTAGTGACCAGGACAGATAGCCTCAGGATGAGTGCTGGTCCAGAAGAACTAAGGTATGCTTGACTCTTCAGCCCTATCCCCTAACCTTGAAGTTGAGAGGTACTGAAGGTTAAATTGATTATTTAAATTGCTAATTTAAATCAGTCATGCTTTCTAGTAAAGCCTCTGTGAGAACCCAAAAAGAATCTTCTGTATAGCTGAATATATAGAGGTTCCTGGTACGAGGCACCCCAATAGGCATGGAAGTTCTGCAGCTTTTCCTACCCTGCTATGCCATATATATTTCTTTATCTGGATAGCTCTTTGTATTTATAACAAACCATAAGCACAAGGAAGTGTTTGCTGAGATTCTGTAAGCCATCCCAGCATATTACCCAACTGAGGGAGGGTACAGTGTGGACCCTGAGATGTAGCCATTTGGTCAGAAGTATAAATGACAATGTACTAGTTGTTATGTTGTTTGAAGTATGGGGAAGTTTTGTGGGACTGAGCCCTCAACCTGTGGGATGAAGCTGTCCATGTAGATAGTGTAAGAATGTTATTGAATAACAGGAAACCTAGCTAGTGTCTGTTGGAGAACTGCTTGATGTGTGTGGAAAATTACCCACATATCTAATATCCAGTGTTCTGTGCAGGTTCAAAGGAAAATAACTTTGATTTTTTCTTTTCTTATTTCATTACCATCAACTGCAAAGAGACTAATGTAGTATTTTAGAAGTATTTTGGCTTTTAGACAGGATTTGTTCAGTCATTAAGTATGTGTGTGTAGAATGGGAAAGAGATCTGCTGACGGAGTCCTGCCATAGACTTGGGGAGTCCACAGAATCTTCTGAACCTCCCCTGAATTGATTCTCAGGTCCCCAGTGCTGTCAGCCTCACCCATCATCTCACACACACTGGAGGAATTGTACCTTTCTGAACTGAATTTGTGGCATCTTTTAGGACTCGGTGACCTTTGAGGATGTGGCTGTGGACTTTACCCAGCAGGAGTGGGCTTTGCTGGATCTTGCTCAGAGGAGCCTCTACAGAGATGTGATGCTGGAAACCTTCCAGAACCTGGTCTCACTAGGTAAGACTGGCAATATTGGTTCATGTAGTGGTTTCGAAAACAGTTTTATCTACTAGTTGACCTTGTTCCAGGATCTGTGCTGAGGAGTGGGAGTACTTGGTAAATAAGACAAACGTGGTCACTGACCACAGGGTGCTTACGATCTGGAGGCTTCTTCATGAAAATGAACATGGGCATATTAAACTTGTTTTTTCTTTTTGTTTTGTGGTTGAAAGTCTTGAGGCTTATTAAGTATTGAATGTGTGGGGATTGAGGGGCTTCTCTGGGGCACAGGGAGAGTTTGTGATTTGAGACCTTTGAAGATTCTACTGCTGTGAATGCCCTTTACCCAGAGACTACCAGGAGCACACCTGGAAGTTAAACAAGCGGGGTTTATTTTGCAGTCATGGGAGAACATACCCATGGGGAGTCGAGGGGCATCTTAGTAAGAGGCTGTTAGAAAGTACCTATTAGAGAATTTGTGCTTTTTGGATGATTTAGAGATGAGTCTATGGGGTAGATTATATTGGTTTCTTAGGCTCTCTATGAACAAGTACCATAAACTGTTGGGTAAAAAGATAGAAATTTTTATTCTTTCATATTTCTGGCATCTGGGAGTGTGAAACCAGGTGTCAGCACAGCTATATTCTTTCTAAAGGCTCTAAGGAAAAAGTCCCTCCCTGTCTCTTTCTAGCTTCTGGTGGTTGCTGGCAGTCCTTTTTGTTTATAGATGTATCACTCCAGTCTCTGCCTCCACCATTACCTTCCCTGTGTACCTGTTTCTAATCTCTGTCCATATAGGGACATCAGTCATTGGATTTAGGGTCCATATTAATCCAGAATAACCTCATCTTAATTTTACTATATTGACAAAGACCTTGTTTCCATATAAGGCAACATTCTGAGTATGGGTGAACATTTTCAAAATAGGCTTTAAAAAAATGTTTGTGTATGTACATTTGTACATATGCACATATTTATGTATGTATGTGTGTATTTATGTGGTACTGAAAATTTAACCTAGGGGCTCTCTACCATTCAGCTAAATCCCCAGCTCTTTTTTATTTTGAGAAAAGGCCTTGCTAAGTTGCCCAAGTTGGCTTCAAATTTGGGATCTTCTGCCTCAGCCTCCTGAATAGCTGGAGTTATAGGTGTGCACCACCATGCCCCAGAGTAACAGGCTTTAATTTTTAGAGCATTTTCAGTTTCAACGCAAAATTAAATGGAAGGTAGAGAGATTTCTAACAACTACTATCCTCACAACACAGACAGCCTTTTTCACTATGAACATCTTCCACCAGAATGGTCCATGTTTAGTTTACAAATGATGAATGTACATTGACACATCTTCATCATTCACTAGAGTCCATAGCCTATATTAAGGTTCATTTGTGGTGTTGTACATTGTATGGCTTTGGGCAAATGTACAATGACGTGTACCATCATAGTAATATATAGAGTAGTTTTATTCCCCTAAAAATTTTCTGTGCTCTCACTTTTTAATCCCTTACTCTCTCTCAACCCTTTGGCAGCCATTGGTCTTCATATCATCTGTATATTTTTTATCTTTTGTGGAATGTCATAAAGTTGGAATTTATATCGTGTGTAGCTTGTTCAGATGGCCTATTTCACTCGGTAATGTGCATTTAAGTTTCGTTCATGTCTTTTTATGATTTTTCTTTTACTGTTGAATAACATTATGTAGTATAGATGTGCCATAGTTTATTTATCATCCCGTTTACTAAAGGGCATCTTGGATGCTTTCAGGTTTTGACAAGTATGAATTATGCTCTCATAAACATGTGTAGCCTTTTGTGTGCAGTTTTGACTCCTTGGATGAATACCAAGGGACACAATTTAATTGCTGGATCATATGGTAAGAAGAGGTTTTTTTTTTAATATTTATTTTTTAGATGGACACAATATCTTTATTTATTTTTATGTGGTGCTGAGTATTGAACCCAGCGCCTCACATGTGCTAGGTGAGCGCTAGCCCCAGCCCTATGGTAAGCGTATTTTTAATTTTATGAGAAACCACCAGATTGTCTTCATAAGTAGCTGTACCATTTTGCATTCCCATCAAGAATGAATAAGAGTTCCAGTTTCTCTACATTTTTGCCAATATTTGGCATTGTCAATTTTCTGGATTTTGACTGTTCAAAAAGGCGTGTAGAGGTGTGTCACTGTTTTGTTTTTCCTGGGTGATTTTAGGATGTGGAGCATACTTTTACTTTTTTACTTGCCATTTGTCTGTATTTGTTTAAGTGTTTGTTTAGGTCTTTGGCTATATTTTTATGGTATTTTTTTTGTTCTCTTATTATTGATCTTTAAGATTTCTTTGTATAATGCAGCAAAAGAAATGATTAAGTGCAAAGAGATAGCCTTCAGGATGAGAGAAAATCTTTTCCACCTACTCCTCTGACAGGGGATTAACATCCAGAATATACAAGGAACAAAAATATTCAACAGCAGAACAAAACAAACAAACAAACAAAAAACCCAAAGCAAACAAAAACCAAATAACCCAGTCAAGAAATGGGCAAAAGGGACTAAACAGATTTTTTAAAAGAAGAACTGTGGGCTGGGATTGTGGTTCAGCAGTAGAGAGCTCACCTAGCACGTGCGAGGCCCTGGTTTCGATCCTCAGCATCACATAAAAATAAAGAAATAAAATAAATATATTAAAAAAAAAGATTATTTGTTAAAAAAAAAAGAAGAGGAAATGCAAATTGTTGATTGATTGTATTTCTTCTTCTGTGAAGTGTCTATTCAGTTCCTTAGCCCATTTATTGATTGGGTTATTTATTTTTTTGGTGTCAAGTTTTTTGAGTTCTTTATATATTGTAGAGATTAATGCTTTATTGGAGTTGCATGTGGTAAAGATTTTCTCCCAATCTCTAGGCTCTCTCTTCATGTTATTAATTGTTTCCTTTGAGAGAAGAAGCTTTTAAATTTGAATCGATCCCATTTATTGATTATTTTGACTTTGCTTCTTGCATTTTAGGAGTCTTGTTAAGGAAGTTAGATTCTAATCCAATCTGGTGAATATTGGGGCCTACTTTTTTCTTCTATTAGGCATAGGGTCTCTGTTCTAGTGCCTAAGTTTTTTATGTACTTTGAGTTGATTTTTTGCACAGGGTGAGAGATAGAGGTTTAATTTCATTTTGCTACATATGGATTTCCAGTTTTTGCCGTACCATTTGTTGAATAGGCTATCTTTTCTCCAGTGATTGTTTTTGGCATTCTTGTCTAGTAGGAGATAACTGTATTTATGTGGGTTTGTCTCTGTGTCCTCTATTCTGTATCATTGGTTGATACAAGTCTATTTTGGTGCCAATACCCTGCTGTTTTTTGTTACTATAGCTGTGTAGTATAGTTTAAGATCTGGTATTGTGATGCCACCTGCTTCACTTTTCTTGCTAGTGATTGCTTTAGCTATTCTGGGTCTCTTATTTTTCCAAATAAATTTCATGATTGTTTTTTCTATTTTTATGAAGAATGTCATTGGGATTTTAATAGGAATTACATTGAATCTGAATAATGCTTTTGGTAGTAAGGCCATTTTGACAATATTAATTCTGCCTGTCTAGGAGCATGGAAGATCTTTTCATCTGCTGAAATTTTCTTCAATTTCTTTCTTTAGTGTTCTATGGTTTTCATGGTAGATGTCTTTTGTTAGATTGATTCCCAGTTTTTTTTTTTTTTTTTTTTTGGGGGGGGGGCTATTGTGAATAGGTTAGTTTTCCTAATTTCTCTTTCAGTGTATTCATTGATGATGTATAGGAATATGTGTGACTTATGGGTGTTGATTTTATATCCTGCTGCTTTGCTGAATTCACTTATTCTAGATTTTTTTCTAGTAAATTTCTTTGATCTTCTAGATATAGAATCATGCCATCAACAAATAGTGATAGTTCTTCTTTATCTATTTGTATTTCTTTAATTTCTTTCTTTTATCTAATTGGTCTGGCTAGAGTTTCAAGGATGATATTGAATAGAAGTGGTGAAAGAGGACATCCTTGTCTTGCTCCAGTTTTTAGTGGGAATGCTTTCAGTTTTTCTCCATTTAGAATGATGCTGGCCTTGGGTTTAGCATATATAGCTTTTACAATGTTGACATATGTTCGTACTATCTCTAGTTTTTCTAGTGTTTTGAGCATGAAAGTGTGCTGTATTTTGTCAAATGCTTTTTCTGCATCTATTGAGATGATCATATGATTCTTGTTTTTAAGTATATTAATATAATGAATTACATTTATTGATTTCTGTATATGGAACAAACCTTGCATCTCTCGGATGAATCCCACTTGATCGTGGTGCACTATCTTTTGAATATGTTTTTGTATGTGATTTGCCAGAATTTTATTGAGAACTTTTGCATCTATGTTCATCAGGGATATTGGTCTGAAGTTTTCTTTCCTTGATGTGTCTTTGTCTGGTTTTGGTATCAGGGTGATATTGGGTTCATAGAATGAGTTTGGAAGGGTTCCCTCCTTATCTATTTCATGGAATACTTTGAAGAGTATTAGTATTTATTCTTGTTTGAAAGTCTTGTTGAACTCAGCTGAGAGTCCATCTGGTCTGGGCTTTTCTTGGTTAGTAGGCTTTTGATGGTGTTTTCTATTTTATTACTTGAAAATTGATCTATTTAAAGCATGTATGGACTCATCATTCAGTTTGGGTAGGTCACATATCGTTAGAAGTTTGTTGATATCTTTAATATCTTCTATTTTATTAGAGTATACATTTTCAAAATAGTTTGTAATTATCTTCTGTATTTCAGATGTGTCCATTGTGATATTTCCTTCTTCATCTTGTATATTAGTAATTTGGAGTTTTCTCTTAGCATGGCCAGGGGTTTACCTATTTTATTTATTTTTTTCAAAGAACCAACTTTATGTTTTCTCAGTTTTTCCAATTGTTTCAATTTCATTAATTTCAGCTCTGATTTTAATTATTTCCTGTCTTCTACTGCTTTTGGTGTTGCTTCGTTTTTCTTTTCCTAGGGCTTTGAGATGTAG